TCATACTTTTGTGGAAATGTATATAGCCATTATGTTGGCTACAAATATGCAATATGCTATTTTTAAAAGGTTAAGACTGAATAATTTCAGTGCCTTGAACATTGTATAAAAATGGTTTGTGTTAACATTGAAAAGTTTTAAGGGCTTTGAACTTAGAATGAAAAAAATAATTTGTGCAAACAAATTTGGAACTAAATATTATAACATTTGAAATTTTGGCTGCATGCGGGGGCATCCGTGGCATGATGACACATTTCTAGTTTATGATTTATTTGCCATGTTTTGCAGCTATTACAATTAAGCAAATCAACTTTTTTCATCATAATACACTTTTTTTGTTTTATTTGAGTCTTGAGGTTTCACCTTAAATATTTTTGTTACTTTTGTCTACAACAGTGTTTTCTCTTTTCTTACCCAGAAATGTATTTTCACTCATCTTTGAAGAGTATGTTAACTTTCTTTTTTGTTAGAGTTGTTTCCTCTGTTTTGGTCTATACAAGAAGATAGACAGTAGATTAATTAAGATCAATTTTGATGTATGAAAGTTGACATTTTTAGATGGCCCTGTGTCAGATTGATGACAGGAACATTCAGGTTTATGATGTGTAGGTGGTATGGTCTTTTTTACAGTTGTTTGTTGTAAGGTGAAAAAAGTTAGTATCGGTTGGAGGCCATGTGGAGGAGGAGTTGGTGACATTTTCTGTTGTTGTTAAATGGTGTTTGTATCAAAATAAACGGAACCTTTTGTTTGGAAACATGTAAAATGATATTAATTTTGTTCTTGAAAAAGAAAGTGTCATATGATTGAATGTGCTGTTGAAAAGTCGGGCATATGTTATAAACAGAAATCATTTTGAAGGTGATTATTGTATTAAAGAGCATGTGTTGAATTATAAATATTAATTTTAAGAGGAAACTTGAATAAAACAGTGATATTGACATCTTAATGTTTAAGGATACAAAATTTGTCAGTTTAACATTCTCTTTTATTCAAGGATACATTCCTGTTTTAAAATATACTAAGACAGGTGTGTTAATTCATAGATAAACAGTTGTGAAAACAATAAATATTAGATAAACTGGGGTGAAAACAATAGGTGTTTTGCTATCAGCTGATGACTTCATTTTAATAAGGATTGAATACATTATTGAGATAAAATTTATTCTGCACCACCTTTTGGAAACAGGGATTACATAGGTGATCACTAAGTAAATTGAGTCAAATTTATTTTGGTCATTTTGACTTCGTATTGGAGGAAGTGATGTCATTGTCATTTGATACAAGCATAGTTCCAGAAATGTTCTTGGCGTCAAGTCAGTGTTACTCTGTGCATGGAGAATTTATTATAATGTCTGAAAGGCATTTACATGAGGAGTACGAGGTAGGCATTTTACTTTCCTCAATAGTTTAAGGGGATCTTGTGTTTAAATTGTCTGCCTATTAAACCAAAGGTTATGGGTTTAAGCCCTTCTCTGGCCCTTCTCTCATTTCATACCAGTCACTGTTTGGTTTCCAGGAACCAGACTGGAAAGTAAATGATATATTTTTGTTTCAGAGTTTGTTTCAGAATTCAGCTTAACTAAATAATTATACTAAAATAGCGTTTTGCAAAAAGGTGTTAATAAGCTATTTAATAAGTATTTAGTACATAAGAGTCTTCATTTACTTTTATGATGATTATTGATGATTATTTGCATGATCTTGTTAATGAAATATATTATTCCTTACTTGATGCTTTATGCTTATTAATGAACCTTAATAGTCTGTTGTAACTAAAAAATGATTAGCCTTTGCTACCAGTATAGAGCTAGGCCAGCCTGCACATCCTTGCAGTCTGACTAGGCTATATACTATTGGCTGACTATCTTTAAACTTTCATCTTGATATCCCAAAAATACTTAATTGACAAGCCCATTACATAAATTCTGCTGTTTCAAGTGTAACCACCCTTACATTCACAGTGCTGAGTTTGTGAAAAGAACACAGTACATCCTGCTTAGAATTTCTAAATTTTCCCATTGACTTTGAATTTCAGTCTAAAATTTAGTAATTAGCTGTATGGCAACAATAATATCACGGCATTTGCTGATTGTTATCATTATCATATCCAATCCCTTATTCAAATGCATTATGAATCCTATAATTTTTGTGATATTATATAAGCTGAGATTCACTAGAGTATTAAGATATTTAATCCCACCTTGTTTATTTACTATTATGAAGTATTTTAATTCTAATTTAAAAATGGAAAATATAAAACCCCTCGTAGTGCATTAATCAACAACAGGTAAACAAGTGTTAAAAGAGATGATATATTTAATTCGTTCATGATTCCAGTGTAACAAAATATTTTATTACAAGGATAGACAGTGATCATATTAATCTAATACTATTGTACCAAATAACATCTCTTTCCCAGTTTATCAGTACATTGTACTCCTGTCTTTGCCATTATGAAATGTCTTTACAGCACTATATCTTTAACCCTTACTGTACTAAATACCTTAAATGGTCTTGTCCTTCTTTCATTCTGGATAAAACCATTCTTCACTTTTAGGGAAATTTTTAATATAAGTACTGACTGAATAAGGAATAGTGCTTAACCATCATCAGGTATTTGTGCCGACAGATCTTGGTCTGCACTGTTCACATGGGGGAAGAATCAGTTTGCAGGCAAAAGGCTTAAGGTAAAAGCTAAATAATATTTAAAAGTACTCAAGTTATCTTGAATATAATTTATCTGAATAAAAGAGTATTGATAAACAGTTCTTTAGAGGGCTTTGAGTACATTAAGAATAAAAGTACCTAGAAATACTTGGAAGATAATTGCGTTTAAAATTTAACATTACACCTGTTTTTGTTTTGTGGTTTGGATGAGTTTTTTTCCTGTTTATAAAATAGCAGAAATTATTCTGAACTATCCTTTTTCGATAGGAAAGATATAAAAGTATCATTGTGATTAAGAGATGATTAAATGTACAATGTTTTTTGTAAGATAGAAAAGCAAAAAAAAAGAAGATTTAGGCGGTATTTACAGGTTGATGGCCTATTCATAATGCCGTGATTCGGGTAGCTGAGTAAGCCATTGACTTAAACGTGGTGAAGTGTAACCGAATACACAACTACATTACATCATTTTATGGTTTTATAATGTAGTCATGCTAACCAGCCTTTTGTCATAATTTTATTTTAATACTTTTTTAACTAAAGTTTATGATGGTTATCAAATGTTGATTTTTATATGGTATTGCACATATCAACAATGTAAGTGAGTAATCACGAGTTAAATGGTCAGGTGTACAGTTACTGTTACGTATATAGCGTAATTACGTCACCACTAGAGAGCTGCAAAATAACAATCAAGTAATATATATATGGTTGATATTTATATCGTAAAGCTAACACTCGTGAATGATCACCACTAACTACAGCAACATTTGTTGTTTATACAGAAACTGTATCTGAAGTTACGCTTTATTTGATTTCACGTTCACATTCAATACGAGTTAAACAAGTGTATTAGTTTTTTGAAAATATAAATTTTTTTGTGTGGATTCATACTGAGTTTTGACAGCTCACACACACCATGTTGGAATTAGGGATTAGGAAATTTTTCTGTAATTTAAGGGATTTTGGAGAAATGGGCGAGGATAGAAATATGGACATGGTATGTTGGTTATATTTGTATACAATTGTTTTTGTTTTTTTGTTGTTTTTTTTTTACTCAATATTTTTCTTTCTGTAACTTTTGATTAATGGCAATGAAATAAAAATTAAATACCTTAAATGGACTTGTTCATCTTTCATTCTGGACAAAACCATTCTTCACTTTAAGGGAAATTTTTTATACAAGTACTGACTGAATAACAATTAGTGCTTTTAACCATGGTATTTGTGCCGACTGATCTTGGTTTGCACTGTTTGCATGACCAAAGTCTTTACTGTTGGTAAATCCTGATATGGAAAATTAAATGATAACAAAAAAAAAAAACAACAACAAAAAATAAGCATCAATTTTTTCTGAAGAAGATAAAATGTAGCTAAGAAAATTGTTTTGTTTTTTTTAACTGATAATACCCTATATTATTAAAATATAACCAAATAGAGGAAAAATGAAAATGATTAACAAATTGAAATTGAAATAATAATTATAAAAAAAGTAATTTGAAGAGATTTAGTATTTTTATCCTGTCATGGTTTAAATATTGAAACAATAGGTTAAATTTTGAATATATTTTATTTCAGCAATGTAAAAATTATTAAACAATTAATGGTAGTGAAAATAGTAATAAAAAAAGAAAAAAAAAGATGTGCCTGATTTTTAAGATGTTCATAAAGACCTGTATAAACTTTCAATGTAAAGTCAAAAAGTGAAATTACAAAATAATGTTATCATAAGTAACTTTAACTGCCATTTTCCTCTTTAAACAGATACCACCTTTGTTAGAAGACCACTGCCTTAAATTAATATACACTTTTTAACATATCTTACATGACTACACTATGATAACAAGCATACAAGATGTGTCTGTGATGGTAAATTTAAGGAAATAGCCATGTATTGGTATTGATCAAAGGTTGTTGTGTTGGACTTTTCTGTAAAATGTCTTTTGTGTCAACTGAACAAACTGTTCTGGACTTTTGAAACGGCTATATTTACCTGCATTGTATGTTGTATGAAAGGAAAACTCATGTTGGATTGTAAGTTTTACTACAGTAAATGGTTATAGTGTTAGACTTGATGGTGATGATGATGATGATGTTAATGGTGGTGGTGATGATGATGCTGCTTTGTTTTGTATGACTTGAGAATAATGTTCCAATGTGTTCACTGACAGGAAAAGCCCATTGTTCTATAAACTTTCAGGAAAGAGGAAATGCAATTTGCATTGAACATAAACATACATGAATGGTCTAGTGTTTTGAACAACAGGAAACTGAACAGTAAGTCATATATTGTTGCATTTTATAACAATGGAGCTATTTCTTCTAATTTCAGCAGAGTTCATGGAAGAAGATTCGTAATATAGTTCATTGGTCGCCATTCATTCAGCAGTTCAAACGTAGAAAGTATCCATGGATACAGCTTGCTGGACATCAAGGTAAGAAACCATTAAATTTAACAGTCACAAATCACATGACATGCCAGGGGAGCACATATAATATAAATACCACATTGTCAAAGTTGTTGAACATTCTGACAGATTTGGGCTGCTCTGATTGGCCAACTTGAGAGCCAATAAGTTAAAGATTGACCAGTTGACACAAATTGACCTGATATGGAAATTTCTGTCCCGCAATGTAGTTTTTTGGAAGGTTTAAATTGAGAACTAAAAAGTTGGGAATCCAGTTATTCTGTAGGTAGAAGGACATAAATGATGGCATGTCTGGGGTCAATACTCTCAGTGCCTGAAAGGGCAGATGGACCCTCGTTAAGCCTCACATACATTCTCTAGATTGTGTTCTGGGTAATAAATGTTCATTGACCTGAGAAATATATATTATTATATGAGAGATTGTGTTCTGGGTAATAAATGTTCATTGACCTGAGAAATATATTATATGAGAATTGACCTAGTGGCTTACATGAGTAAAAAGTTGACTAGGTTTGTCACACCCAGAACTGTTGTGATGGAATAACTGAGAATGACAGGAATAAAGATGTCATTTTACTTGATTAACCTGAAAACTTATGTAGCTGGAATATAATGGTAGTGACATTTCTATTTATAGTAACAATAATATGTAGCACATGTGATACCAAACCGTGAGTCAGTTAAGCTACAGCAGTCCTTTATAGTCGGGTAAAACTTACCCCAAGTATGACCATAGTCTTTACTGTTGGTTATTCAGTTCTTCTATTTTATTATAAAATGTATCATTATTGTAACAATGAACTGTTCAAGGTGACTAGTGGGGCAAAGGTTGTTTAAATTTAGGAATGAAGTTATGTTTTATTGAAAGCAAAATATGGAGTCAAAAGAAGCTGACACCAGGAACATGCATGTAGTTGTTAATTTTTAGCAGTCAGGAAGTTTTGCTTTTGATTGGTTACAAAAAAGCAATCATAACAAAGACATCACAAATATCATTCCTATATTCCCCAAATTTTAAATTAACGAAGCAAGAAGTTAAATTTATCATAAAATTAAAGGTAATTTATAGTGATAATTTTCAAAGATAAAATGTATGTTCAGTGTTTTATGAAACGTGAAAAGGAAGAAAAGTGTAATAATAAGATCAGGCAGATAAATAATCATGGCCCAACCTGTTATATAAACATAATTATCTATGTTATGAAGGGTTATTATTTTGTATAAAAGTACAAATTCAGGGTGTAACTTTTTGATAATTGACTTGACTTTGCCACGGGTACAGTTTATTTAGATTGAATCAGAATGTCTCTAGTGAAGAGCCTGGCCGTAGTCCCCACCGTCAATAGGTTTAATATGACGGTCAACTCTTTCTGCTTTCACTTGAAACTCTATTTGGCTACTTTTCATTATGCAATATGAAATCATAATCTTCAGGTACAACAGTAATCTTTGTGTCGGGTTATATCAGATTACACTTTTAATTCTGACTAACATTTCCTACTTAAAGTTCACGGAGTACTTTTATAGTAACTTAACCAACATTTTTTTATGAATGAGAAATTACACAGGCTATAAATTATTGAGGGGAAAAAAAACAATTTAGAGGAGCAGCAACGAATACTTAGTTTCAAGTACAAGCGGAAAATCGCCTTTGTTATTTATTTCCTTTACCCTCTCGATAATATTGTGCATAAATAGGTTTTTAATGCAGATTTACTGCTTCAAAAAGCCACCGATTCCCTTCATTATCTTTTGATAAAACTGGTAACGTCACTAGGTGAACCACAATTTCTGTTTCTGTACAAACATTTTCATTTTAGTTTAATGATCAACCTGTTGTACAAATTACCTTTTTTATGTGTTTGTTTAATTCTATTTATAGCTTATTCTGGTATTTTTATAATGTGTAAATTACGAGAATGAATTACTCAACTATAGTCGATCATTATAAAGAATTAGTAAACTTCCCTTTTATTTTTAAAACAAAAACTATTTATAGATTTTGATTGATAATTCTACATTGTTTTCAATTTTGAATGATAAAAGTCACGATCTTTGCTGAAGGGACTAATTTATTGTGTCACAATATCACGATTCGGTAACTGAAATATACTAACTTTTTATATAAATTCTCGTATATGAAAATAAATGGTTTGTTATTAAAATGATGAATACTAATTTAATGTTATCTGCATGTTTAATCTGAATTTAGGGAATTTATGCGTGACTATCGTGCTGTTGTAATTTCACATTTGAGTGTTTTTTGACAAAAAAACTTAAAATTATTCTTTTCAAACTTATTACCCATAAAAGGTGGGTTATCTATCAAGGAGTGAGAGACAAGATTTGTGGTATAAAAAGATAAGATGGTAAACTTTTATCAGCATGAGTATGAATAACAAAAAGTTTGTTTTATTTGTCACTTGACTGAATCACAATTCATTCATAATGTTGTGAATCCAGGGTGTATGCATGGATGGCAGAATATAGGTTTAATGACCTGCGTGATAAGTTTTTGATTGAATTTTACTAACTGACGTGTCAAATGAAAAAAATAATTAGTTAAATTGCTTCATTTTTGTTACGCCCAAAATTGTTATTTTATCAATTTCCAAATTTTGAAGAAGAAAAAAAATAAAATTAATATCTGTGTTCTTTTGATATAATATAGGTTGAGGCTGGGTTCTTTTGGGTTAAAGTAATGCTTTATGGTTTAAAGTAACAGTTTAGTATATTTATCTTCATATGAACATTTAAAGTGTAATTTGGTAAAGACTTATATGTAAATATCTGATATGGAGATGTCAGTACAATACACAAATTTACACGTGTTTGACAATGTTCACTAATTGTTCAACAAAGTTTCTAATAAAGGACTTTGGAAAAAAATGTACCAACCACAGGATGTTACAAGTTTATATGTTACCTCTTGCTATGTGTGGGCTAAAGTGTGTTTTTATGATTCCGATGAAAAATAATTATTGTTGTGAATCAAATTGTCAAGAAAAACCTTGCCTCGACTTGGATCAGTACACATAAATACATGTACAAGATTTGTTAGGCTGAAGGTCTCCAAACTTAGCTTAATTCCTGCCAACATTACGTAAATAAGTACATGTAATTAAGATGAAGACAGAAAAAATTCAGTTAGAAACAAACTAGGGTACAATAATTATATATAAGTATTATTTCGATTTCAAATTTAAAATAAGGTATACATGTGAATTAGTATGTAGGTAGAAACATTTTTTTTCTACAATATTCAAACTGAAATCTTATTGAACTTGGTTGATTTCTTTCATTTTCATTTCTTCATGTTCACATTCTGCCTGTTTTATAGGTATAAAAATAATACAAAAAATCAAATATCTAAAAAGGCATTTTCATTATTTTCAGGAAATTTCCAAGCGGGAGATCCTGGAGCTATATTGAAGAAGTTTGACAAGAAGGAGCATCGTTCATTTAATATATTGATGAAAGATGTACTTGGACCTTATGTACCGGAATATAGAGGAGAAGTAGAGAAAGATGGAGAATGTATCCTTTTTAACAACATCAAACATATTTCAAGCATGTCTTTAGGTGTTCGTACCAGTCTTGGAATATCCCTGAAAATGATATTGATTATCTCTTGATAAATTCTTAATGAATTAAATGTAGCCTTGAAAAATAAAAAAAGGTTCTTAGATTTGTTCAAATTATGTTGAATTTTAGTTTTTATGAGTCCGTAATGAACAGACTTAATTCTGGTCAATTTTGTATAAATCATGTAGAATGTAAAGTTTATTCTGTAAAGGAATAGAATATTTCAAGCAGAAGCCCTAAGAATAAAAAGAAATAGTAAAACAGAAAAAAATAATAATAGTAAGACAGGAAAAAAAGAAATAGTAAAACAGCAAAAGCATATTTAAAGTTGTATAAGCAATGTAATCTGTCTTGCCATCAGTTACAATTTTGTATTGAGAAAAAATAATTTTTGTAAAAAAAAAACTCAGACAACTTTTGTGGATAACAATAAATATGTTATTGAATATTTTACTGGAAAGCAGTTAAGCCAAAATATATTGTATGTATTTTGGAGAACAAATAAAAAGGCATGAAACTTTATGAAAAATTTGACCTTGACCAAATGAATAGGTTATGTACAGCAACAAGATTTACTGTGTGAGTTTGAGGCACCATGTGTGATGGACATCAAAATGGGTTGTCGGACATACCTGGAGGAAGAATTATCTAAAGCAAGAGAAAAACCAACTCTGAGAAAGGTATTAACTTCTATGTATTTTTAATTCCTTTAAATGGGATTAGGAAAAAAAACTAAGTAAGGCTGTAGGTCTATGGTCATTTTTCCATTTCTGTCTTGGGCTATCTAGATTCGGGAAAGTTGATCAGACTGGGCTCATCATATTGTGTTTTTTGTGACAAAGTCCTGATGCGATCATTGAGAAAAGTATACTAAAATAAGAAACAACCTCCTGTTTTATCTACCAGAAATTTAACGTCTTTGTAACACATTTAGCAAGACTATGTTCAGTGCAGTGTAACTATTTTTAGCAAGGCTTTGTTCTGTGTTACTATTTTTAGCAAGTTCTATGTATTTATTTTCATAAAGTTCTGTGTTACTATTTTTAGCAAGTTCTATGTATTTATTTTCATAAAGTTCTGTGTTACTATTTTTAGCAAGTTCTATGTAACTATTTTTCATAAAGTTCTGTGTTACCATTTTAAGGACATGTATCAGAAGATGGTAGATGTTGACCCGACTGCACCAACAGCAGAAGAACATAATCAGAAAGGCATTACAAAACCTCGATACATGCAGTGGCGAGATGATATGAGCTCCACTACTGAATTAGGCTTCAGAATCGAGGGCATAAGGGTAAGTTAATAGATGCTCCGGCACGTCATTTGCGTGGTCAGTAAAAGTGATGCATTGCTGTTAAATATTGTATTCCTTTGTGACAAATGATTATAGTTATAAATAAACTTGATAAAAAACCAAATAGTTTAAAAAAACAACAACAGAAAAAAAGCCATGCTATAATGTTCTGAAAAGTTAAATACATGTAGATGAAAATATTATTATAATACTTTAAAGCCAAATATAATTTTCCATGCTGATAGTATTTATGGTAAAACCTGCTTTCACAGTCTTGTTTAAAAACTAATAAAAGTTTACATTCACACAAAAAACATGCAAAACAATGACACATTAGAACATATTTAGCAAAGACACTGCTCTCATTTACAAATTAAATCAATTTAAGTCAAGTAGTTCCCAGCTGATACAGAATTTTCAGAGATGCATGAAAAATAAAGTAATTATCCCCCGCCGATGGAATCGGGAGGGGGATATAGTTTTGGCGTTGTCCGTCCGTCCATCCGTCCGTCCGAATTTCGTTTCCGGAGTAGTTCTCTGCAACTACTGGCTGGAATTCAACGAAACTTTATGGGAATCATCAATATCAAGAGGAGATGCGCATCTGACCGTCCGTCCGTCCGTTCGTCCATCCGTCCGTCCATCCGAATTTCGTTTCCGGAGTAGTTCTCTGCAACTACTGGCTGGAATTCAACGAAACTTTATGGGAATCATCAATATCAAGAGGAGGTGCGCATATCGTCAGCTTGTTTTGGTCAGACCCTTTAACTCAGAGTTATGGCCCTTGATAAGTTATGTAGAATGCATATAGAGTAAAATTTTGTTTCCGGAGTAGTTCTCTGCAACTACTGGCTGAAATTCAACGAAACTTTATGGGAATCATCAATATCAAGAGGAGATGCGCATATCGTCGGCTTGTTCCGCTCAGACCCTTGAACACAGAGTTATGGCCCTTGATTAGTTATGTGGTATGCATATAGAGTAAAAATCGTTTCCGCACTACTTCTCTGCAACTACTGGCTGGAATTAAATAAAACTTTATGGGAACCTTCAATACCAAGAGGAGATGCGCATATCGTCGGCTTGTTCCGGTCAGACACTTTAACTCAGAGTTATGGCCCTTAATTAGATATGCAATATGCATATGGAGTAGAAATCGTTTCCTCGCTAATTCTCTGCAACTACTGGCTGGAATTCAATGAAACTTTATGGGAATCTTCAATACCAAGAGGAGATGTGCATATCGTTGCCTTGTTCCGGTCAGACACTTAAACTCAGAGTTATGGCCCTTGATTAGTTATGCAGTATGCATATAGAGAAAAAATCGTTTCCGCGCTACTTCTCTGCAACTAATGGCTGGAATTCAACGAAACTTTATGGGAATCTTCAATACCTAGAGGAGATGCGCATATCGTCGCCTTGTTCTGGTCAGACACTTAAACTCAGAGTTATGGCCCTTGATTAGTTATGCAGTATGCATATAGAGCAAAAATCATTACCGTGCTACTTCTCTGCAACTACTGGCTGGAATTCAATGAAACTTTATGGGAACCTTCAATACCAAGAGAAGATGTGCATATCATTGCCTTGTTGGGGTCAGACACTTTAACTCAGAGTTATTGCCCTTGATCAGTTATGCAGTATCCATATAGAAAAATATTTGTTTCCTCGCTACTTCTCTACAACTACTGGCTGGAATTCAATGAAACTTTATGGGATTCTAAGAGGAGATGTGCATATAGTCGCCTTGTTATAACTCAGATTTATGGCCCTTGATTAGTTATGTAGTATGCATACATCTCATTGGCATTTCCAGATATTACTATTTAACACAAAGTTATGGCTCTGTTATTGCCCTGAATATTTATCAAGTTCAAAGAATATTACTGTTTATGCCTATGATGATTAATATATAAATAAAGCCTTATGTCTTCAGTTGTTGTGTTAATAATAACCAGTACTCGGCGGGGGATATAAATTCAACGAATTTGCTTGTTTTCAATGCATTTGAAATTAGTTGGATAAATAAAAACATTTAGTTAGCATATTATTTTGTTTCATATTTCAGAAAAGTGATGGTGCACAGGTGAAGAATTTTAAAACAACGAAAGATAAGACCAGTGTTAAACAGTGCCTTAAACAATTTGTAGAGGAAAATCCAACCATTATTGTAAGTCTATGATTATTGAAAATTTACCTACCAATTATCTAATATCAGCATGAATGTGTCTCAAAAATAAGCATATTTATGCCATAAAAAGATTTAATAAAAGCATCCTTTTGACCAGGATGTACAAAAAATCTAAGTCGTCTAACTGCTTTCCAAATCATTGCTAAAGATATACGGTATCTTACAGGAGTTTTCATTTCATATAGTTTTAAATTAAACAAGTCTTTGAAAGTACAGACTTGTAACAAGTCTTTGAAAGTACAGACTTGCTTTATTGCGTTTCTTGGACAAATTGAATGAAAGTTTATATTAAATAACAACAAAATTTAATGTAAGATACTTGTTATCAAATGACAGAATAATGACAAAAAAATCATAAGAAAGGCAAAAATCACCTTTCGATGTGACATGTTTAATTAATATTACATTGAGTTGATCACGTCTTGACATTTTATATTTAACAGTTAAAATGTAAATATAAAGAAAATGCATAATGCTTGATTGACATCGAAAACAAGTGAAATCATGTGCTGAATGTAAATTTATGAAGATTTTCAAATGTATTTAAGCTATTTGCTTGGAAGAATAATTTAATATTGTAACTGTGGCTTGTGGTTTAGTGTCTAGCTATAGGTTTCCAACAATGATTCAAGTGTTGTTTAAGACGCAAATAAAACTGATTACAGAATGATTAAAATTAGCTTTTACTTACCATCAGGCTCATACAAAAACAAATGAGCCGCGTCACGACAAAACCAACATAATGGGTTTGCGACCAGCATGGATCCAGACCAGCCTGCCCATCCACGCAGTCTGATCAGAATCCATGCTGTTTGCTTACAAAGTCTATAACAAGTAGAGAAACTGATAGCGAACAGCATGGATCCTGATCAGACTGCGGGGATGCGCAGGCTGGTCTGGATCCATGCTGGTCGCAAACCCATTATGTTGGTTTTGTTGTGACGCAGCTCAAACATGTTTGTAAGGAATAGATTAATGTTGTATCAGCACATTCTTGTAAAGAAATTTCTGTATGAATTAATATTATTGGTCTATAATGGTAATCATATGAAAATGGAAACTTATGTTTTATGTATAAGATATCGCATGTGTTTGAGGTAAAAAGGTGATCACAAATCATGTTGCAGTACATTGTTTACATTCTCCATTGATTGATTTATAAATGCATGGAATTTAGAAATGATTGAAACATTTGTAGGGCTTACAGTAATATCATAGACCTGTGCCACCAATATAGTGGACGCCAGTATGCACATCTGTGCAGTCTGACCAGGCTCTATACTGTTGGATTCTCTATTAATAGTGTTTTGATATTGAAATCCTTTGAGCTACATTGTACTAATAAACTGTTACAGTACCAAAATCTAAGCAGGGCAAGTTGGTACAACAGGTTAAGTACAATAAGGGTTAATTAATACAAGGGAATAAGAATTATTTATATAACCAGCTGATATAATATTTTGAAAATCTGCTTTTTAGCTTTTAAATAGGGGTCAATGCTTGATGCTACTTCCAAGGCAAGAACATATGTGTTATTACTAAAAAGTTAGAATTGTATTTTTATATTAGTACATTGTAATTATTCCAACAAGTAAGAAAATGTTGGATAAAAATATGAAAATGGTTATGAATCATGCAAAATAGTGATTTAAAGTAAGGTTTTCTGACTTATTGTATGTGAGAATGGACAAGAGTTTTTTATGCTTATATAAGATGATGTCTATATTTTGTGTTATTTTCACTAGTGTTCATGTTATATATTCTCTTCCAGAATAAGTACCTGAAAAGATTAAAAGCTATTAAAGCAACCCAAGAAGTATCACCGTTCTTCAATTCTCATGAGGTAAGCACCATTTCTAGTTAGTAGCACTGTAGAATTATATAGAAAATTTAAAGCTGATCTTGTCAAATTAAAGGCAGGGCCGATCTCATTAAAATTAGTCCTTTGTTTTCACTCTGATACTTAACAATACCTAGGAAGGTAGGGTATGATCTTAATGAGTGTGTAGCAGGATATGCTCAATATATAAATGTAACATGGTAAATGTTAAAATTTAATTATTTTAATTCTTAAATATATGTGTTTTGGTTAATTAATAAAATAATAATACATAAAAATAAATCAAGATGTATTTGTTTTTTGTTTGCAGATAATTGGCAGCTCTTTGTTATTTGTTCATGATAGAACTGGACAAGCCAAAATATGGATGATAGACTTTGGTAAGACGGTTCCCCTTCCAGAATCAGTGAAAGTTACCCATAAAGACCGCTGGATAGAGGGGAACCACGAAGATGGCTACTTGATTGGAATTGAAAGTCTCATTGTTATTTTTGAAGAACTAAATTCTGAGTTTAGAGGCTCCAGTTCAGATACAGAACTTGTTGTGGAAACAGAAAACACAAAAAGTGACAATATAACAGTTGTAGCAGAAACTAGACATACCTCAGTAGGAAGTAATGATATCCAACTTGATTCATCCAAAAGTGAAAAGAATGAATCAATAGTGTAGCTCAGTTTATATCAAATGAGGTGCTTGATTAATTTCTGAGTCATATTTATGTCGGAAGTATTATTTTTGTCAAGTTTTTTTTATGTATTAATATGTTTGTGTTACTTTTTTCATTTCAATGTTAAGAAACTACATTTTCTTTGTGTCAATATTATAGAAGAAAAAAAATTTGCATTTTGAGTTGTTTCCCTTTGAAACATAAAAAAGAATGTTTTTTTAGGTTGATAAGAGTATCTTCCCTTACTGTCTGAAGCAAGTGAACTGAATCTTCCTATGAATAGATATTTGATATGAAAGCTTTATCCATTGAATATGCATCAAATATGGGTAGATCTGTACAGATAGTCTAACATTAACTTAATGTCACTCACTTATTGATTGAAATCTAGCTTTAGATGAAGTTTTTATGAATTTTGATCATGTGACTTGTTGATCTGATTACTACTAGTTTATTAAAAGTATTTTTTTTGTCCTTTTTCCTTTTTCATAAGCAATCTGCTCCACTTGGTCTGACAAGTGCAATTAAAAGATTTTCATTTCATTTGTGTGTACATATATAAATGTCTTCATCCTATGAGTTAAAACTTAACTTATGACAATTTGTTTAGCTGATAATCATGCAGTTCAAGATTTATAGTTGAATTTAACAATGACCTTTTTAAATAACGGATAGTTTTAGTTGACCAGTGTGTAATTTTTGCACAACACCCTAGGATGATTTAGAGACTTGTATCATAGCTTCTTACAGTTAAATTTATATTGAATATATTCATGAATATTCAGGTTATATCTAATTTTATATTCTAGTGACCTTTATTACCAAAGGTCATTTTGAACTATACCTATAGTTTTCAAAGTTTCTGTACAAATAATGGCAGGCATTGTTATACCACAATTCCTTCTCAGAATGAGAGTGACACAAAATATTTTCAGTGCTTTTGGGGTAAATAAAGGGATTTACGACAAACAGGCAAGCACGTTATTAGATTGTGTCGAAGAAAATGGCATTATTTTGTTCTTTCTTTAGGACCTTGTCGATGAATCTGGTGTTTATGTAAATTTCTATCTCGAGGAATATTTGTCTCACTTTTGGACAGAAAGTAGGACAGGTAAGAACATTAGGCCATCCCATGTCTGTGTATTGAATTATGTTAACATATTTGTGTATAAGATTATAGTGTTAACATACTTTAATACACACTGTTATGGAAACGTATGTGTTTTTTCTGTTGTCATTTTATAATGTACATGTGCTAACAGTTTTATTGTGACATGTTTTGGTAACTTACATGTGTACAGTTTTTATCATTTTGTGTATTTTGGTCATTTCATGCTGGCATATTTGTGTGTTTAAAGTACTATCAAATTTGGCGTACATATGTGTAAATTTATTATCAAAATTTGTCTTTTTCCAGACAATATATATGTGCAATTGACACTGTATATGAAAATACACAAATATGTACCATTAATGATTAACTTGTACTTGTATATAAGTTTTCAAATACTGGGGGTAAAAAAACCCAAATAATTCCAAACTGTTCGTTTGACAAATCATGGTATCATCCCTACATGGTGCTGTTTATTGACATACACTGTTTATTGCAACATTTTTATTTACCGGAAGATCATATTTCCATGAATAAATATATTTATATATATATGTACATGTAGCTCTGAGTATGACAACTATTTAAATATATATGTTTTATGTAAAACAATTTGATATACTGTTTTTCTTAAGGAGACGCAAAAATGGAAAAGTTTTAAAATTTTGCTTCTCGTATAGATTCTATATAAGTTTTTTTTGTGAAGAAGTATACATTTTTTTTATAGAAACTAAATAGTACTGATTTATTTTTTTATTGCATTTCAATAGTTTCATGTTTTATGTAACAAATTCATTTTTTTCCCATTTATTTGTATTTTGAATTTATTATTATTTTTGACTTGACCTTCAGTTGTGTTGTGACTGTACTAATTCTGAATTCTCTTCCTCTCACATATTTAATGCAATAAAACATCCCAAAATAAACTGGCAATTGAAAATTTTAAAAGGAGATTAAGTTAGGCTAGTAACTTTAGGCTCAGTTGTTCACAATTTTGTTTTGAGTTTTGGCAATATTTAATGCAGCTTGATTACAGAAAGAAATGAAAATATTTAAACATTTACAAATTTTTTACTTGGTATATTAGCTTATTTAGTATCTCTGCCTCTTATAACCCTTATCCTGTCTAATGAACTCATCCTTACTTGAATTTGGAACTATCCATTACAAGTGCAAGGGATTTAGATATTTAGTATCAAAACTTAGTTATATAGAGTGTGATGAGACAGCACAGGCTTTCAGATTGGCCTGGCTTTATACTGGTGGTATAAGATCTGTAATTTTTGCTACTGACCATAATTATATAACTGCTTTAACCCTTAAACCTGCTATTGGCAACTGATTCTGCCCATACAATCAGTGCCTACCATGATCTGGAGACACAACAATACTGTCTGATCATGGTTTGCACTGTTTGCTGTTCATTCAGTACAAATTTCGAAATTTTCCCTAAAAAATGATAATGGTTTGGTCCAGATTTAAAGATGGACAAGTCCATATAAGATGTTTAGGGTGATAAGGGTTAAGATGAGCAAATCTTGCATTTAAGTATTTTTCATCTCCAGAGTTCATTTTATCATTGTGTAATATAGTTTAGGACTAGTTTCAAAAGAAAACATTCACTTTTTTTGTCATTTTAAAAATTAATGTCACACTTTTGAAACTATTTGTTCTTGGGACCATATTTCGACATGCCCGTACTAATAAAGGTTTTTTTTCGAGTCAGAGGCCACTCTGGATACCATTTTGCCTTCAGAAAGTATTGAAATCATTCCAGTAAGACAGATTTAGATACATATATATTTACAGAACAAACTGCTGCTTATCAAATTCCAAATACTGTTTATATCTCAATCAGCATTTCTTATAAATATTCCATTTTTTTATGTCATAAATATGTCTTTTTTTGTACTGATAAGTGTATGGCTTTGTTTATAACCTTTTGAACTTTGACCTTTTACAAGGTTGAATTATTTCTGTAACCTTTGACCTTTTACAAGGTAATAGTATCTCTGTATGTTTTATGCTGAATAATCATCTTTGTTATACCTTTATTGCATTTTCTTGTAAATGTTACTTATAAATTTGATTGCTATTTTATTGTTAATATATCAAAAATTACCAAAAAATAAATTTTTGATTACTATGAAAAGCCCTTTGTTTTTGTTTAAAAATAAAAATTGGAAATTTGTTTCTAAAACACAGTGTTACTCTGCTAGCCAGTCCAAATGTGGATACCATACATCATTGAGTGACATAAACATCATTCAAGTGGTACAATTCCAGTGATGGAGGAAGACTGGAGTGTTGTGTTACACATCATAGATTGAAAGTTTGAAATCAGTCTTACAACCAAAACTGAAGACAATTTTGCATTTCAAAGAAAATGTTAGAACTTACATCTCCTATGTTGTAACTCCTTCAATTAATGAATTACAATGCAGATGAACTTTTACACATTGCGGATTAAAGCACGCCATTGTATTTCCTAATTTTTCTCAGGATGTTGAATTTAATTAGTCTTTGACTCAAGACAAAAATGTTTATTGAAATGGTCTAAGCTCAATCCTAAAGTTGGACTTGCATTAATAATGGGGTTCTCTAATAATGCAGCCCAGGTGTGTCTCAGTGTATTATTTCAGGCACAATTTTTCAACATTTACAGTATTACTGGTTTTTATTTGCGTATGGAAATGATTGCTTTCTAATTTAGTGAGACAAGATCAACAAACTATGAATAATCAGTACACAGCTGGTCTTTTTGCCTTCCCACACAGAATGCGGACATTGTACCAATAGGACAATATTGCACCAATATTGTAAAGGTCATATGGCAACTTTCAGCTTTCCTGGTGATGGAAGACCATGCATTATTTTAGACTCAAATTGGCACCCGAGTAGAACCACAGATGTTCAATATTCTAGCTGAATGGCTTCCAAGATATTAAAGTTAAAGGTTAATGGATAAAAAACAAAAACAGAAATTACAAACAAAAAACATTTATATAATCAAACTATGAAGAAAATATAGTAAAAACTAGAAATGTGTCCATAGGACACGGGTGCCCCCACCGCGCCACTGTTCTGTCAATCTTTTTACTAAGTCAAGGGAAATAACTCTACAAATACTGGATAAATCCACAAGCGAAACCCCAGGTGCAAATCTAAAATATGCTGAGCAACCTGCCCATAAGGTTTAATGACTATGTCAAATCCTTTTTGAGATACTTGCGACACAAGTTGAAAATTGCAAAAATTTTCTAAGTGAAGGGCAATAACTCTAAAAATTCTAAATAAATCCAGACGAAAATACCTGGTGCACAACTGCACATGCTGATCAATATTCCTGTAAAGTTACATGACTCTAGGTCAAATACTTTTTGAGTTACGTGCGACACATGTTGAAAATTGCCAAATTTTACTAAGTCAAGGGCAATAACTCTGAAAATACTAAAAATATCCAGACGAAAATACCCAGGTGCACAACTACACATGCTGATCAACATTCCTGTAAAGTTTCATGACTCTAGGTCAAATACTTTTTGAGTTATGTGCGACACAAGTTGAAAATTGCAAAATTTTACTAAGTCAAGGGCAATAACTCTGAAAATACTAAAAATATGCACACGAAAATACCCAGGTGCACAACTACACATGCTGATCAACATTCCTGTAAAGTTTCATGACTCTAGGTCAAATACTTTTTGAGTTACATGCGACACAAGTTGAAAATTGCAAAATTTTACTAAGTCAAGGGCAATAACTCTGAAAATACTAAAAATATCCAGACGAAAATACCCAGGTGCACAACTACACATGCTGATCAACATTTCTGTAAAGTTTCATGACTGTAGGTCAAATACTTTTTGAGTTACATGCGACACAAGTTGAAAATTGCAAAATTTTACTAAGTCAAGGGCAATAACTCTGAAAATACTAAAAATATCCAGACGAAAATACCCAGGTGCACAACTACACATGCTGATCAACATTTCTGTAAAGTTTCATGACTCTAGGTTAAATACTTTTTGAGTTACGTGCGACACAAAAGTGAACGGACGGACGGACAAGGGTAAATCTAAATGCCCGCCACTAACGTGGGGGCACAAATATAACAATGAGCACTGTGGAAAATATATATAATACCCGATTTTTTATGAGTTTATACATGTTAAATAAAATAATTAAGAAATATGTACATCTCATGAATATCACTACATGTCTATACTCAATAATTCTGTAAATGAAAATATGGTGGCAAATTTTTATTCATAATTATGAAAAACAAGAGAAAAGAATGAAAAGTTAACACTTGTCTGTAAGAAATTCTAGGATAAAAAGGGCATAGCTCAAAATTATTGTTTTCAGAATTATGCCCCTTGTCAAACAACTGCACCATAGCAAGTATTCCAAGTTTCATGTTGATTCCTTTTTGGCTTTTAAAATGTTTGAATAATACTTAAAATTATAAGCAAAGCCACGATGACGACGGCGACAAAGCAATCATATTAGCTTGACTTTTTCTTTGTTACAGACAAGCTAAAAATAAATTAAAATTGCTCACATTCAATAATCTTTACATTAAAATACAGATCAATCTTTCAAGTTTTCAGAATTCACTCTTTGTCAACCTCTTAGATGACCTATTGACATGACACAATGGTTTATGATATCAAAATGGTATGAAGGAAACTAGTGCTTATAATATGAAGAAAATTGCGCTGCCCATAAAAAACACTAAATCAAGCTTTCCATACAAAATAATTTATCATTATAACTTAACTAATTGCCAAAATGCAGACAAGATGGTTCAGCTATCAGGTAAATGAGTAACTTTTTAAGAAATTGTAATGGGACACCAAAGTTATAAAGCTTTTAAAAGATAAAAATGTTTTTTTGGGTTAATGGGCCTTTTAAATGTGCTTAATGAACTAAACTATAATGACTTTATATAAATTTTCAATAACGAATATATGAACCTGAAACAATAAGCAATTGTCATATCATATCACAATTACCTGAAGGAAATTTTTATCACATTTTTTGAAAAAAATTCATGAAATTTGCATAAGCAATCTTTATCATGTTTGTAAGAAATATATGAACTTAAACAAGAAGCAATTTTATCAAGTTCACAAGAAATATTTGAACTTAAACAAGAAGCAATTTTATCATGTTTGAAAGAAATATATGATTTTTAACAAGAAGCAATATTATATCAAGTTAACAAGAAATATTTGAACTTAAACAAGAAGCAATTTTATCATGTTTGAAAGAAATATATGATTTTTAACAAGAAGCAATTTTATCAAGTTAACAAGAAATATTTGAACTTAAACAAGAAGCAATTTTATCATGTTTGAAAGACTTATTTGAACTTAAACAAGAAGCAATTTTATCAAAATTGAAAGAAATATATGAACTTAAACAAGAAGCAATTTTATCATGTTTGAAAAAAATATTTGAACTTAATTAAACAAGAAGCAATTTTATCAAGTTAACAAGAAATATTTGAACTTAAACAAGAAGCAATTTTATCATGTTTGTAAGAAATATATGAACTTAAACAAGAAGCAGTTTATTAAGTTGGCATGATATGTATTAGCTTAATCAAGTAGCAATTTTATCAACTTTTAAAGAAATATATCAACTAAAACAAGAAGCTATTTTATCAAGTTCACAAGAAATATATTAACTAGAAACAAATAGCAATTACTATCATGGTAACAAAACATTTATCAAAATTTACAAAGCCAATTTTTATCAAGTTCACAAGAAATCTATGAACTTAAACAAGAAGCAAGAATGTTCACAAGAAATATATGAAAATTAAAGTTTACAAGAAACAAGTTTCATTTTGTTCAAATGAAATAAATATGAACATTACATGATCACAAGAAATACCTGAGCAATTTTTGTCAACTTCACAAGAAATACATGAAATTCCCATTAAGGCAGTCATATAACATTTCCACATGACAAGAATAAACATTTACAAGAATGCAGTTTGTAACCATATATTGAAACATTATAAACATGCATGACCAAAAAACATAAAATATTCAAATACATCCTGGGTATCAAGACAAAAGTCAAAATATGGTAACATGAATGCTTTCAATATTTTCAAACATATCCAGGAAGGAATACCTAATAATCATGTTCACATAAAGGTATGGTATTTTAACAAAGTGGCATAAGAATGATAAGAAGGAATACAAGATGAAAAGGAGAAGAAATACAAGATTTAATTATTGAACAAGAGGAAGGTTATAAAACAAGTAACACAAATACACATAGTGTAAGTACAGTCTCAAGAATGCCGTAAATAAAACATGTTCACATGAAATATAAGAACAATTTTCTACAGGAAGTGTAAAATATGAAATAATACCTTACACAATAAAGCTATGAAACAAAGTTTAAATAATTATATTTACAGGAATGTAATCCTCAAAATATCATAATCATTCACAAAGACCACAGTATGAGGGTAGTTCAAAAAGAAATAGAACCGAGCACCTTTTGTTTATTATTGCAAAATTATTTTGCTGAACACGTTCTCTGCGATTTTGAATAAACCTGGTATATATGCACTTATTACTTTTTGAACAACCCTCGCATATAACTAAACTAACAATTATAATATGACAACTTAATAATTGACTGCTGGCAAGAGAAACAACCCTTTATGTCATTTATTCCTTTTTGTTTTTTAATTGACATATACATGATATATTCCATTTTTTAGTTCTTGAAATCAAAACAAACTATGAATACCTATTCATTGTTATTTTCAACATTGAGGTTCAAAAGCCTAAAAACATCAAATTTGAAATTCTTACATAAATCAAATGGGTGACTTAAATGAAAAATATGCAAAAGATAATAAAGAATTAAAATATATTCAGAATTAAAATAATAATTGAAATTGTACAAGTCGGCTGTATTTCATCCGATGAATGAAGAATCGTATTTAAGAACATTATTTGAATGTAATTAACCCGATACTTTTATACAGTTGTGTGATACGAGCTAGATGTAGATATGAAATCCTCTATTGAATATATCCACAATCCTTAACCTGCTGAACTTCTTAAACAGATTTTTCCAGCTTCCATTTTTAGAACTGTTCATTACAAATATGGTGATATATCAAGTTGAGTATTGAAAGGTAGTCTACCAACATTATAGAGCCTGATAAGACTGGATGAATGAGCAGGCTGGCCTGGTTCTATACTGGTGGGAAAGGACCAATCACTTTTGGTACCAGCAGGGTAAGTGTCAATTGATATACCTCTTCTTTCTTTAGCTAACACCATCGGTCTGACTATATATTAATCAGCATTTTCTGTGGTCTTAATCGACTTTCTTCCATTTCATGAAATATACATGCAAGTTTATACAGGTTCAATTTCAATATACTAAATGTTTTTAATTACGGTAATTCCACTTTATTGCATTGCAAAGAGTCTCCACTATGCTTAATAGCCAAAGCACATCATCACCAGTAGATTTCAAAAGAATTATATGTCTATACAGGCAAAAATGCACCACATGTTTAACATATTTTTGGCACACCATATTTGTTCCAAATGTAAAATATGTGTTTTACATATGTTTTACATGTAGTGCATTTTGACCTGAATATGGATAAAGTGATCCCTTTTAAATTTTTTCATTAAATAAGATAGTCTCCTTTTGTTTATGTTTTACCACACCATATTTTTTCTTAGCTATAAAGTGTCAATTTATTATGTTCTTAGTTCATTAGACATAAGGACATTTTTTTTAAATTTTCACTCATATCACAATTTTTCTTCATAAATGGTTTTCACTTTACATGGCAATATTAACAATTCTTTGACAGTTTGCTATCCATTTCATGAAGTTTTCTGTGTAAATTCTTTTAATGTAAACTTTTCTTTGCGATTCTATTTTTCCTTTAGTAATTTCACTCAATATGAACTGTGCTTTTATGGTTATCATTCAACTTCCAAAAAGATTATGTGTTTTCTTTTCATTCAATATATAAAGTTCTTTTATGGACTTAATTTAACATCAACTTTCCTTTCAATGTCTTAATTTAACATAACTTTCCTTTCAATGTCTTAATTCAATATCAACTTTCCTTTCAATATCTTAATTCAACATCAACTTTCCTTTCAATGTCTTTATTCAACATCAACGTCTTAATTTAACATAACTTTCCTTTCAATGTCTTAATTCAACATCAACATTCCTTTCAATATCTTAATTCATCATCAACTTTCCTTTCAAGGTCTTAATTCAACATCAACTTTCCTTTCAAGGTCCTAATTCAACATCAATTTCCCTTTCAATTGCTTTAATGGTTATCATTTGATATAAACTTTCATTTCATCATCTTAAATCATCAAAAACTATACTTACATGAACTTATTTCAACATAAACTTCCTATTCACGGTCTTTACTTAACAAAACTTCTCTTTTTATAGTCTTCGTTTAACATAAATTTTCCTTTCATTGGCTTAATTCAACATCAACTTTCCTTTCATAGTAGTAATTTAACATGAATGCTCTATTCATGGTCCTTATTCAACATGAAGTTGCAGTTCATGGTCTTATTTCAACATAGTTTAATTTCAAGGTCTAAATGCAGTATAACCTTAATTCAACAAACTATCATTTCATGGTCTAAATTTTCAACATAAACTTTTCTTTCATGGTTTTAATTCAACACAAACTGTCTTATCATGACATTCATTCAACAATAACGATCTTTTCATTGCTTTAATTCAAGTATTTTTTCCTGGTCTTAATTCAACATTGTCTTCCTTTTATAGACTAAATTCAACATACAATTGTTCCTTTAATGGTTTTCTTACAATGTAAACTTCACTTTAATGATTTTCATTCAACATACACTTTGCTGTAATGGTTGGAAAGCAACTGAAACTGGGTTTTTTGTTGTTGTTGTTTTGTTGTTGTTTTTTTCATGTTCTTTTATGGTTTTAGTTCAATAGTAACTTTTCTTTCATGATTGTAATTCAATGTTAAGTCTTTCATGTTTTTTTTTTTTGTTTTTTGTTTTTTTTTTTTTTTTTTGAAATGTACCAGTAAGCTTTTTCTTAGTTTTTGATTCTTTTGTGAAGTTTTGTTTACTGGGTGACATTCAATGTAAATTTACCTCTCAACATTTGCATCCAACATTAACTTTAATCTTTCAATAAACACTATTATTGTTGACATTAATCTTTAAATGTAAAATGTAATCTTCACAGTTGTTTAACTCTTTTTTCATACAACATCAATTTTAATTAAGTAAATATATCATTAATCATAAACTACAAAATTAATGTATCATGGAAATATTTTCAACTTTTCATTTAAATTGAACATTCAATAACAGCTGTCCTTCAACAAAAGCTGTCCTTCAACAAAAGTTATCCTTTAGCCTTAGGTGTCCTTTTAAGATAAATATTTGGATCTTTTAGTTATATAAACATTCACACTGTCATAAGTAGATATAGTTTGAAGAAGAGTAGACATTCCATAAACTTTTTAACTGTTTAACTGTATACTTGACCTCAAAAATGTTGTTTCCTGGATAGCCTCAACTTCAATTACCTTTCAAATGATGTCCATTTATAATGTCATTTCATTTGATTGACATTCAATAAAAAACTTTAAAACTATTCAAATGTTAAATTCAATTCTGTTGCTGATGTAATTATAACACTGTTGGCCCTTCAAATCAAGAAACTGTATCTGACTTACAACTGACTTTGGTCCACTTTTTGGCAACTTTGACCCATATTTCTTTGCTTTGTTTAGAGACATGAAGCAGACGCAGTGCTATGTAGGTGGGATTTTTCTTCATGCATTTATGATCAACAGCAGAAATAAAGCTTGTGAAATATTCATGACAACCGTGGCAGACGAAAATTCTAAACGTTCCTTCATACTTGTGAAACAACTGATGCAAGCTATTCTGGCTATGATGATCAAGGTTTATGCCGTCTGCAAACATTTTCCCACAGACATTACATTCCAACATGGAATAAAAACATCTAAAACGGCATAGCTCTTCCTTCTGAATGCTTGCAGTACAATAAACTTGGTCCGTCATCATATGATGTCTCTGGTAATGATAAACACAATCTGCTCTACAGAGAAACACAGACTCACATCCTGGTAAAGGACAAATGTGTACTAATTCATCAAAAGGACGTATCTTATTGACAACAAAATTCTCCTGTTTTTCAAAGGCATTCACATCATTCAACTCATAGAGGCTGGCACTTTTGTGAATTGTATTTTTAAAATGTCTCACCATAGATTTCCTCCTCCTACACTCATGGCCACACTCATCACACCTTAAAAACCTTCTCAACTTAATTTTCATATTCAATGGTACTTTACAAGGTGTAAATTCACCATCTACAGATGAACAAGCATCTTCAGAATCAAAGTTTGAATCTCTGATTGCTTCATGGCTCTCTCTAGTAAGAATCACAGGCTGTTCATCAGTTTTGGAAACATATTTTTGCTTTTCACCAACATCAGTTGATGTCTCAAAAGGATCATGACTGAAAGAATAAATTTCAGAACGAGACTGAGCCAGATTTGCTGTTGGTTCTGATAAATCATCTGAATTCCTGAGTGGCACTTCTCCAAAATTTAGCCAATCAAATGTCTGTGTTTTATTTTGTTGAATTTCTATTCTTTTCTGTCTGTAAGTATTATTGTTCAGATTGCCAGGCCATAATGTCTTGGGTAACTCCAAATTACTGTTTGACAACTGCACTTCCTTTAAAGGAGCAATGCAAGATGGAGATGATGATTTCTTTCTATTTGAAAATCCTTCTTGAACAGTTTTTTGCTTAACCGTCTTTACAACTGGTATAGGGTGCAATGAATCTGTAGGCGCCTGCACATCATCATAATCTCCAGAATCTAGTTTCCTGTTTTCCATGTCATATCTCTTACTTTCATTTACACCTTTAGGTTTCACAACCACTATGCGTTTAACTGGTGTCATTTCAGGTGAAATATGATCCTCAGCGGTCCTCATCTTTTTTGACTCAGACTCAAGTGGCTGAACTGTTACAGCTAAAGTATAATTTCTACCTGAATTAAGTCTTTCCCATACACTAGGTCTTCTTTGTTCTTCATTGACATTGTAAAGATTATTAATGCTCTTGTCATATTGTTTATATTTCTCATACCAGTGGCCTTCTGATTCAGTAACATCAAACCTTCTGGAGTAAATGTAGTCATCTAGTTCATCCAATGATCTTGATCTTGTCTTGTTGTACCTAATAGGGGAGTAACACCTCGATGAGCTAGAATATCTGGTTCTTATCCTTTCATCTGGCCTCAAATTTCTGACAGAAGGAAGTCTGATTGTGGTTGTTTTATCTTTGTTACTATCACTATTTTGGTTCTTAAATGGACTATCAAATGCTCTGTCAATTTCATCAAATGGGTCAACTTCCAGGATATCTTCACTTGCTACTTCTAAAATGTCCTTAGTTCTTAATTCAGTTTTTGTACTAGCACTGTAGTTCCTGTATAAACTTTCTTTTGTTTTGATACATGTTCTTTCCTCATTATATCCTTTCTTTATGTTATTAAAATTTTGAGGCTTTGTCTTTGTGACTTCAGCTTCTATACCAGCATTAAATATTCCAACATTTTTATTTTCAGGAAATGGATAACTATCATTGTTATCTGAATTAGTTGATGCCCTATCTTCACTATCATCAATATTGTCAGCATGTTTCCCATTCTTCCATGGATTGTAGTTTTGCTCATAAACATTTTCAAAAGACTTTTTGATGTTTTTCTGTGTCTTTTTGTCACCATTAGTTACAACATCTGCAGTTTCATTGTCTGACTTACCCAATTTTGAGATTTCCAATGTCTCATTTTCCCTTTTCTTCTTTAAATGACCCCCATTATCGTAAGAAAATGCCTTACTTTTGTCTAAAGTCATATCTTCTTCAATATGAGTATCCTTGGTTGCCATGCAAGTTTCCCTGGGACTAGATCCAAACTCTTCTTCAGCTTCAGACTCTGACCAGGAATCTTCACCTATTTCTATTACTGAATTATCAATAGTTGCATCACTTGATGTGCAGGAGCTACCACTCTGAGATACAGTGTCACTTTCTTGATCACTAACTGATGGTTCCATTCTTTCTAATTGGTACCCATTAAGCACTTGGATCTTATCTGTTTTGTACAATTTCTTGACTTTGTTCCTATCTGAGAAATTATTAAATTCTTCAATATCACTTTCAGATGAACTTATGACTAAGTAGGTCTCATCCTGGTACTTGAAAGTTTCACCTTCTACTTTATTGAGTATATTAGTAACATGATCAATATCCTTATTTGTACCAGGACTCATATTGTGTGAATCTTGTGGTGAGTTATTGATTTCAGAAACAAGTTTAGATCCTTCACTGCTATATACTCCTTTTTTCACTTCGATATCATCATTCAGAGCACATCCATAATTATCCTGTTCTTTATCACCTTCAATCAGAGCACATTCATGCTTACTTTGTACAATGTTATCTTCATGAGAATCACATTCAGATTCATTTCCTATTTCATTTGAAACACATTCAGCTTTATCTTGTTCTTTTTTAATTTCTTTTGGTACACATTCAGATTCATCATGTTCTTCATCACTTTCTTTTGGTACACATTCAGAATCATCATGTTCTTCATCACTTTCTTTTGGTACACATTCAGAATCATCATGTTCTTCATCACTTTCTTTTGGTACACATTCAGAATCATCATGTTCTTCATCACTTTTTTTTGGTACACATTCAGATTCATCATGTTCTTTGTCACTTTCTTTTGATACACATTCAGCTTTATCTTGTTCTTTTCCTTTTTCATTTGGTTCACATTCAGATATGTCTTGTTCTTTTCCGTCTTTCTTTGTAACATATCCAGACTTATCTAGCTCTAATTTATCTTCCTTTTGAGCACTATCTGTATTATCATGTCCTTTGTCATTTACAGTCAGAGAACTATTAGACTTCCTTTGTCCTTCATTATCTTCATTCAAAATATAACTAGGAGTACCTGGTCTATTTTCATCTTCATCCAATGCATACTCTGTATCATTTCGTCTCATATCATCATTGTTCCGTACACATCCATATTTACCTTCTATGTCACCTGCATTATGCAATGTTGTAGTTTCTATTCCATCGCTATATTGATTTACATAACACATACTAAGGTTTATGTTGTTGTCCTTTATTGAATCTACCTGACTAGAGGAGGATTTCCTGGGCCTTTTGGAAACCTGTACTTCATCCAAAACATTTGGACAGTCTTTACTTTGAGCGTCAAGTTCTTTCCCTCCATTCTTACCATTATATCCCTTGTTAGAATCAAATTTACGTTTGACAATTCCTAAATAATCAGGTGGTGGCAGTTTCTTTGTTTTTTCTATAGTTTCTGATTCAATCAGTCCAAAATCATCATCTTGCATGTTACTTGCACAACTTAATACTGACAATGCCTGTGGAATTGTCAACTCTTTATACAAGTTATCAAAAGTATTTTTCATTTTATCAACAGAAACATTTTTGGTATAGTCTTTTTGGTTTTGCTGGCTTCCATTTTCATTGTCAATGGTTTGATGTTGATTCACTGCTTCTGCATCTAAACTAAAAGGTTTTTGACAGTTCAAATGTTGTTCTCCATTATCATGAAGATTGTCATCAACTTTACAATTTTTTTCATCAGTCTGGTCAGGTTTCAGAACTTTAGGTCTTTCTTCAGATTCATGTTCAACACATATGACTGACACCTCATCGTCACTAGAATCAAGGTTAACTACCTCAGGAGGTTGGTATTGAATAGGCAGCATTTCTAAACCATGTTCCTCTATGTTTAGATCAATATCATCATCAGTAATAACTATTGGACAGTACATGTGTTCACCTGTACCTAAAATTGGTCTTTGAACAACTGTAATTTCAGTTGGTTCTTTCTTTACTACAACATTTAATGTAGAACTGATTCTTTCACCAGCTTCTTCATTATCAACAGTTTCACCACTACCTTCATCAGCATCTTCATCACATGCAGTATAGTCAGTGTCACTTTCATTAATGCTACTATCTTCATAGTCAAGTAATTCAGAAACACTATCAATTACATCATGCTGATCATTGAAGTTATCTTCAACTTTTTCTCCATTATCTTCTTTCGCATCAGAATCATCTGAATCATTGGCAGTATCTATCACAAACAATTCATTTCTAATTTTCTTCAGTCTCTCTTCAACTATATTTTCTAGGTATTTTCTTTTATAGCCACGTTTTTCCATGATTAATTTCCTTTCTAAACAATCAGTAGCTGTGTTATCCTATGCTCTGAAACAGAATTATATATTAATATATATTAATTTTAATAATTATATTAATATTTTTTAATAATTTTTTTTTTTCCGCTTTTATGTGGTGTTAAATTAGCATTATATTTCAATAGATTGACTGTAATAAGGTTGATCGGCCAAAAACTGATATTGACCAATAACTGATAATGAAAAATATAAATGATTCCATATAAAAATGACAAAAAAATTATAAATAGACTGCCCCAGTTTTTCTGTACGAAATCTGCTGTGGTCATAGTATTATTTTTACAATAGGTTTATCTCTTAGATTGGTTTGTTAAATTGCTAATCATGGTCATGCAACTACATAGTTAGGTGAAGAAGCAGGCGCTTGTTTTGGTTGAGTCTATTATGTTTTGTTTAGGGGGTTGAGTTGTCATACACAAATTTACAATTTATATGCATTTATTTTTTTCCAATGATTGTTATTATCTTAAATGCTTCTGGGATTGTTGTTTTATCAATTCATTTGTAAATAAGACTGTTATATGTCTATTAACAGAATAATTTTAATGAACACGAAATTAGTTCACACCTACATGTGTATTGGTAACGTGATGGTTTAAGCCAATGAAAACACGTCAATATTATTATACTCAGGCAGAGAAAAAGTGTGCAAAGAGTAAATCGATAATCTTTATGTAGCCAGCAAACTTTGAATTGCAAGTATTTTTTCATATCTTTTCGACAGGATAAACTGTCCGAGGATTCGTATCGTAAAATGGCTGCCATTTACAGTATCAAGTGATTATCCCAAGCACCACCGCGACTTAGTGCGGGAATTTTAATTATAGCTAACCTCGGCGCGTATACCTGTTTCATATTTTATTGTAATAAATATTTACAAACTGTGTCTTTCGGGGTTTTTTTTATCAATATATAACCAATAATGATGTTAATATGAATAAATAATCATATCTCAAATCTTTGACTATGATTTACAATGAAATTCTACCTTAAGTGTATTAAAAAGGTTTTTAATTTCCTGTAATTTTATTTTGCGATTATACTTCAAAGCAGTCAATTGACCGTGAATTTTCTTTTCATATTTTGATTTCCTTGAAATCATTTTTCTCATCTGAAGGCATGCAACTTTAATATGGTGATACATTAATTACATTCCATGAAAATGTTTAAAGATATAAAATATATCATGACATGTTTGTTCATTTTACATTACACCTTTAATTCAGCAAACATAAAGTCTTCACAAAAAGTAGTATGCAATCGTACCTATATTACATACGAATGTATGTAATATTTTTCTTGTTTAAGAATCAAACATTATCAATGCTTTCTGAACAATATTTATAGACATTTCCATTGGTCACATGGATTATTCATTATCTTTTCATAGTAAAATATAAAATTGAACACAATTATGGCAAACTATCATATTACATGTATTTTGATTTTTAGTTGTTCACTGACCATATAAACTTGGACAGGCATATTAACAATGTTTTTAAAATGGCAATAATTGTTTTATCTTTATCAGCCATACCTAAATATTCAGAAACTGTTTAAAAAACCCCAGATGCATTGCATGCAGTATTAATGCTCCTCTGTTAAAGACTCCCTCCTCAAAAACATGAATAACTTATTAATTCTGAACTTATGAAAAATTTATCCTGAATGTTAAAGATATATGCATTTATAGAAAGGTTTAATTATTTTACATGTGAAAGGGGGCACAACTAAAGAAATACTGATCACTTAGTTATGTCCCTTGTCCTGCAAATTTTACTTTTCCTATCAGCAAGTGTGCCAAGCATGAGTAGTTTTCTAAATTTTCTTTCAATAAGTAAAAAAGGGCATACAGGGTAACTTATAAAACATTGCTTTCAGGATACTGTCCCTTGTCTAAAATCTTATTATGATAATCAAGAATTTGTAAAGTAAAGTTTCCTGATGATACCTTTGATAGCTTCAAAATCAAAAGACAATAACGGTGATTCAGCAATCATATACAAGAAAAACATTCAAATTTTCTATTTTTTTTATTTATATTTTTAAATTTCATGGCCAAAACCTAAGATATTTAGCAAATAGCATTGTCTAGAAAACCTTATGCTGTATTACTAATGCCTTTCAAACAAGAATTTGTAACAGAGTTACCAACGTCCCCCGCCCCGGGAGTTTTATATGAAGCATAAAATTGTGCTATTTCAAAAGATTGAGGTATGGATCTCAGGACATTCAGTCCAAAATTATGATCAATGCTAGATCTGCAAATGTAACAATAAATTTGTTAAAAAAATAAAATGAAACACGGAATTTAAAAATCTATCATGTTAAGCTTTGACCTCTAAGTGTGACCTTGACCTTGGAGGTAGGGGAGCAGGTGTTGTGCATGACATAACGTCTTATTATTGAGACTATTTGTGCCAAGTATTTTCAAAATCCCTTGAACTACGAAGAAGTTATAGATTGGACACAAAATATACCCTATAACAGACTATGTAATCTTTGACCTCTAAGTGTGACCTTGACCTTGGAGGTAGGGACACAGATGTTACACATGACATATCATCTAATCATTGTGACTATTTGTGCCAAGTATTTTCAAAATCCCTTAATCTATGAAGAAGTAATGGATGTGACAAAAAATATACCAAATAACAGACTCTGTTAACCTTTGACCTCTAAGTGTGACCTTGACCTTAAGAGGTAGGGGTGCAGGTGTTGTACCTGACATATCGGCTTATTATTGTGACTATTTGCGCAAAGTTATTTCAAAATCCCTTGAACTATGAAGAAGTTCTAGATTCGACACAAAATATACCCTATAACAGACTATGTTAATTTTTGACCTCTAAGTGTGACCTTGACCTTGGAGGTAGGGATGCAGGTGTTGCGCATGACACATCCTCTTATTAAAGTGACTATTTGTGCAAAGTATTTTCAAAATCCTTTGATCTATGAAAAAGTTTTAGACCGGACAAACAAGAGCTGTCGGTAGGACAGCAACGCTCGACTATTCTTAGTGCTTGATAGTAAAATAAAATACTTGATACAGTTACCTCCTCCTGTTTACAGGTTGGGGTAATGATGGTGAACAAGAGTGCAAAGTTTCAAAGCCATATGTCAATGAACTTTGAAAATATTTGAGGTATTACAAAAACTTAAACATAAATTCTAAGTCGAAAAAGGGGCATAATTCTGTCAAAATGCTTGATAGAGTTACCTCCTCCTGTCTACAAGTTGGGGTCATGATGGTGAACAAGTGTGCAAAGTTTCAAAGCCATATGTCAATGGACTTGGAAAATATTTAAGGTATTACAAAAACTTTAACATAAATTCTAAGTCGAAAAAGGGGCATAATTCTGTCAAAATGCTTGATAGAGTTACCTCCTCCTGTCTACATGTTGGGGTCATGATGGTGAACAAGTGTGCAAAGTTTCAAAGCCATATGTCAATGGACTTTGAAAATATTTGAACTATTATAAAAACTTCAACATAAATTCTAATTCGAAAAAGGGGAATAATTCTGTCAAAATGCTTGATACAGTTACCTCCTCCTGTTTACAGGTTGGGGTAATGATGGTGAACAAGTGTGCAAAGTTTCAAAGCCATATGTCAATGGACTTTGAAAATATTTGAACTATTACAAAAACTTTAACGTAAATTCTAAGTCAAAAAAGGGGCATAATTCTGTCAAAATGCTTGATACAGTTACCTCCTCCTGTTTACAGGTTTGGGTAATGATGGTGAACAAGTGTGCAAAGTTTCAAAGCCATATGTCAATGGACTTTGAAAATATTTGAACTATTACAAAAACTTTAACATAAATTCTAAGTCGAAAAAGGGGCATAATTCTGTCAAAATGCTAGATACAGTTACCTCCTCCTGTTTACAGGTTGGGGTAATGATGGTGAACAAGTGTGCAAAGTTTCAAAGCCATATGTCAATGGACTTTGAAAATATTTGAACTATTACAAAAACTTTAACGTAAATTCTAAGTCGAAAAAGGGGCATAATTCTGTCAAAATGCTTGATACAGTTACCTCCTCCTGTTTACAGGTTGGGGTAATGATGGTGAACAAGTGTGCAAAGTTTCAAAGCTATATGTCAATGGACTTTGAAAATATTTAAACTATTACAAAAACTTTAACATAAGTGGTTACGCCGACGCCGACGCTCGGGGTACTACAATAGCTATACTTATTCTTATCGAATAGTCGAGCTAAAAATATACCCTGTAACAGACTATGTAAGTATTTGACCTCCCAGTGTGACCTTGACCTTGGAGGTAGGTGACCGGTTTTTGCGCATGACACATCATCTGATTATTGTGAACAATTATGGCAAGTATTTACAAAATCCCTTCATAGATAAGAAAGTTATGGACCGGACACGACATATACCCTGTAACAGACTATGTTAATATTTGACCTCCAAGTGTGACCTTGACCTTGAAGGTAGGTGACTGGTTTTTGCGCATGACACATCGTCTGATTATTGTGAACAATTATGGCAAGTATTTACAAAATCCCTTCATAGATAAGAAAGTTATGGACCGGACACGACATAAATCCTCAAATAGGCAATGTTGACCTTGAATGAGCAAGTGTGACCTTGACCCTGGAAGTAGGGGTCTGGTTGTTGCGCATGACACATCGTCTTATTATAATAAACATTTGTGCCAAGTTATTTCAAATTCCTTTCATAAATGTTATGGACCGGACACGAAAGTGTGACGGACGGATGGACAGACGGACAGACAGACGGACGGACGGACGGACGTATATAAATGGCTGTTTGCAATATAACCCTCGCCTAACGGCTCGGGTTATATTTACAAATAGCCGTTTATATAGGGCCATATAACCTGTCAACGATCTTTATAACTAATAACATATCTATATACAAAGTAACACCAATGTGAATTTTAATATGTCTGGCATATTCTTACAAAATATTAGGCAAGT